AATACCGTGGACTGGGTGGCCTGAACAGCAAACGTTTATTTCTCGCAGTTCTGGAGGCCGAGAAGGCCAAGATCAAGGCCCCGGTAGATTCAGTGTCTGATGAGGACCTGCTTCCCGGTTCACAGATGGCCGTCTTCTTTCTATGTCCTCGCACGGCGAAGTGTCGAGGGAGCTCTCTGGGGTCTCTTTAATAAGAGCATTAATTCCATTAATGAGAGCTCTCTCTTTATTACTCCCAAAGGCCCCATCTCCGAATACCATCGCATGGAGCGTTGGGATGTAACATATGCACTTGGCGGGGAGACAAACATTCAGTCTACAGCACAGATCTCCGCAGGTCTCTGGCCCCGGGCTCCACACCTCTCAGCTGATTCACAAAGGGGAGCCAACACTCACACAGGAGTGGGGAGGGCATGGGGGCGCTGGGAGGGTCCGGCCTGCTGAAGCCCCGCCCTCCGCTCTGAGCCTCAGCGACCGGCACAGGAATCCTCCAGAGTGCCCGAAGAAAGTGCCAGAACCATGAAGACACCAAGCTGGCTGCAGGACCTGCTCCTGCTGAGAAGGTGCCAGCACCCTGAAGCTGCCTTTAAATTTTAGCAAACCTGTTTTCCGATTTTCAACCCTACTCACCACACACTGGTTTCAGATCTTGATTCCACACTCTGTGGCAGCCCCCAGGCCAGTTCCATCCCATCCAGTGTCCAGCCCTGTCTCCGTGGACTCCACCAGGACATTCTTCTCTGGGCCCTGCTTATCCCACAGAAGGGCTTGGATGCTGACACCCAGGGACAAGCTGGCGGATTCGCAGAAGCAGTTACACAAGAGCAGACAAACAAGATCCTACGTGGCCGATTACCTGTCGTGGTCATTTCTGTGGAGCAACCTGGAGTCGGGCCTGTGTGCTGGCAGAGTGACTCTGAAGAAAAGCTCAGGAAGAGAAAAGCAAAGACTGACAGCAACTGTAAAGGAGAAAACTGGTTGTAAAAAAAAAGGACTCAGTTATATTTATTTAAATTTGTTTATTTAAAGTCACACCTACATTGTGTAATTAAAGATGAAAAAGACATATGCCGAAGACTTTTTAAATTGAGTGTCGTTGTTGTTATTGCTGTTTTCATGTAAGTCTTTGGACTGGTGTTCAGAGCAGGAGTGAGCAAACATTTCCTGGAAAGGGGCAGGTACTAGATTATTTTAGGCTTTGTGGACTTGTCACAACTGTTTGTCCTTTGTAACACAAAAGCAGCTGTAGAGACTGTGCAAACGAGTGGGCACGGACGTGTTCCCATAAGTCCGTCCACGTAAGCAGGCGGTGGGCCAGACAGGAGCTGGGCCAGCTTGCCAACCTCTGTTTTATAAATGGAGATTCAATTAAGCCTGAGAATGGGGATTATTTAGACCATGAAGTCATAAATCAAGAGCCGCAATTCACTTGGAGCAGGTTTCCCAAGCTGCGCATGTCGGAATTTGAAGCAAATAATTTTGCAAATCCCACGACTCTAATTTCTGGTGAAAAAAGGCAGAGCTCAGCAAAGATGGACAAGCCGCCACCCTCCACGGATAATGCTGGTTTCCTCACCTTCCAGATCAAGCGTATATGAACTTGAGTATTCATTTGAAGAAGCATCCGATAGACCAGTGGCCTTTCGATTGTTTCCCCAGCATTCCCTTGGATTGTTTCTGCCACATTTCAGACAAATAATTCTGTTGTGGAAAAATACGTTGTGGTCATTAGCATTAGAATCGATGTTTAAGTTATTTTTAATGCTCTTGAAATTTAACAACCATTCTTAGTGAAGGGTAAAAAAATTAGCAAATATTACGTAAGTAATTCTAAGTTTGAGGCTTGATGTTTTGGGTTATAAATGACAGAAAAGCCAAATCAAATGGGTTAAAGCCAAAAAGAGAATTTACGAGCAGAGGCAAATGGCTGGATATGTGGATTCAAACATCACTGGGACTCGGTCTGCATCTCAGCTCTGTTCTGCACGTGGGCTTCCTTCTCGGGCTCTGTGTAGTCATGAGACAGCTGCTGGCAGCTACAGAGCAACACCCTCTAGGTTCAAGTTTAGCGCAAAACAGAGGACGCCTCTCTTCCTCCGAGTTCCAGCAGAAGTCACGTTGCATCTGGCGGCTCTGGTTGGGCCCCGTGCCCATCGCTACTCCGAGGCTGTGGCCGGGAGTTTGCAGCTTTCCAACCGTCCTCGCACCCTCACGTAGCACAGCCGCGGGGCAGCGGAGACTCCGCCCGAAGCACATGGACCGGTTGCCGTGGATCAGGACTGTCTTCAAGAGGAAAACGAGGGAAGGCTAAATGGATTCCGAACGGCAAAACCAAGAGCCGCACCTACGGTTTGGATGGACCTTCTCTCTCTTGAGAAACTCTGTTGGCCTCCTTTGCTCTTGTGGTCAAGTGCGATTTGCCCCATGGCTCTCTCTTCTTTTATTCCCTCCTAGAATAGCCAGGGGCCAGTTATCTGACCTCATTGGTAAAAAGGTCCAGGTCAAGGTGAAGAGATCCTGCTTAGCCTAATCTGCCTGCAAAGCTGGTACAGCCAGGGCAGTCATCAGGCATTATAAACGGAGAGGCCCAGGGATTAGAAGTTTACATATAAAATGTAATGGAAGAGTTTTACTCCTTCATGTGTTCCAGGAAAGATCATGGCTCCCCAGAGCGACCCCATATTCTTAAAACAAATTCCTCTCATTGCTTGAGCTAATTACTAGAATTAGATTTCTACAACATGAAACATAAATAATCCTACATGAATGGGTCGGGTGTGCACTGTGAACCTCAAACGGGTGTGTGTGGGGGCGGCAGAAAGATCCCAGCTGGGGAGCGGGGACGAGGCCACCAGCCACTGGGGTACCACACGGGCTTTAGGGCGAGAGATGGTGGCAAAAGCCGGGCCGGGCCATTGAGTGGAGGAACCACAGTCTGTGGGAGTGACTTCTGAGGGGCAGAGGAAAAGGAGGGGTGCCCGCTTGGCTCCCATCTGAGCAGCCGGGAGAGGTGGGGACCGCGGGGACAGCTGGGGACTGCAGGCGCAGTGGCGATGACTGCAAGCCAAAGTGGGAGGGCAGATAGGACTGGTACAAAGACCCATGTGAGACAAAGAGAGTCGGGCCCAGAGGAGAGGACTTGGAGATGATGAGTGAGGAAAGTTCTGGAACCATCTTTCTGCTTTACCTCTCTCGTGTCGCTAACCCTGCACCCTTTTCCCTCGCACTGGAGGGGAGTTTAACTGGACGCCTAGACGACTGGCAAGGAGCGGGAGAGGCAAAGCCGAGAAATGCAGGCCCTTCACTGAGGGGAGGACAGAGTCTTTGAGAAATCCTCTTCTTCCACGTTGGAGACGTTCAAGGTGAACCCCACTATGGCCGTGCCCGCAGGTCCGTGAGGGCGGGGGCCGTGGTGGGCAGTGGAGGCAGCTCGCTGCTCGGACCCACACGGCCAGGCCTTCCTGCCGTCATGAAGCTCGTGCTGCTCCCTGCACAGATCCGTGTCGACTCTGGCACCTGCCCTCTGTGCTCACCTCATAACTCGTCTGGCCCAAGGAACTGCATCCTTAGCGTGTTCAGGGGACCCCAACCGAATCAGGGGTCCATGCCCTCCCAGAGCGAAGTGGTCTCACCTTCGCTTCTGAGGTGAACTCGGGGCCCCTGGGCGCCATTCGTAGGAGACCCATCTCTCCTTCCAGGGAAAGCTCCCCCGTGGCCATGCCGTCCGGGCCATCTCTACCTTTGGACTCACAGGGCTTGCCTGTCTCCATCTGGCATGGCCTTGACATGCCCGTGGGCTGTGGGACAGGACCCTCTGGGCTTTTAACCCCCCCGAGCCTTGTCCTTCCCACCTTCGGACGCACAGAACTTGTCTGTTTCTGTCTGGCATGGCCTTGACACACCTGTGGGCTGTGGGACAGGACCCTCTGGGCTTTTAACTCAGCTCCTGCTGTGGACCTTGGGCAGATAGCTTGGCCCATTGACACCTGAATTTCTTAATCCGTAAAATAAGGATGTGAATGCTGGTTTGTTGTGAATCTTAAATAACATAAAAAAGTGTAGCACGGTGTATACGGTCAAGTGTTCAGTAAGGCCAGCTACTCAGTGACCTTTGACCTGCCTCTGACCTTGCCTTTTCTGTCACAGACAAAATCGGGCCTGTCCCCTTCCTCACCAAACATCTCATTGTTGTGTTTTCCAGGGCTTCCCGTCGGACCAACTCCCGTTGACATCTGTGTGCCTCCTTCTATGGGTTTCCCAAACCTTGAGACCCAGTGCCACCCATTCCAGAACATTCCACTGTCACAAGCAGCAGGTACTTGGCTTGCTTTGATGTCAGGAAGTGGAGTTTATCAAGAGTGTTTGAATAGAGCCTTTCCAGTGCCCTGTGTGGCCTCAGAGCAAGATTGTGCCTTCCCGGATTTCTCTTTCTGAAAAGCGAATCATTGACGTTTTTGGTTGTTAGGGAGACAGTCACCCAAAGATTAAAAGCATTTTTTCTCAAGCTCTCACCTGAGCTCTTTGCTCCACCCATGACCTTCCGCGGCTGCTCCAGGTCCACCCTTTTGCTCACTAATGACTTCATTAACGCGACTCAGGCTGACTGGGGGATGTTTGCGATGTTTTCTTTCTGCTCAGCCAGTCACTAAGAATCAGCTTTAGAAAACTGAGACGCCTCTATGTTCAGCCCAGAGCCTCACCCTCACCCGCCTCACCTCCTGTCCCCTGGAACCTTCCAGTAAATGCTCTCATGCCACACCCCGTAGGCCATACCCTGATTGTTTCCTTAGTGCTATGGCAGATCATTAACTTCCCTGCAATGACTCAAACTTGTCAAATTACAAAATCTACGGCACCTGGGTCCCCTGCAGTGACCAGAGAGGGACAGGGCTTGAGGGGCAGTCTGTCGCAGGACAGTGGGCGGGGCTTGGAGGCCCCACCCTCCCCAGAGCCCGCCCTGGATTCCTGTCTTTCTCTTATTATTTTGGCAGGAGTTGAGAAGTTAATCTTTCCTGACTGGCGTGACATTGCTTCTTTTTCTTTATCCTGAGAGGATCCCCAAAGGAGAAGATCCCCAAGTTGCCATGAACTCCGCCATCACCATCTGTGAGCACCCCGCCCCATTGGTGAGTGCGTGGGGGAGGGGTCCTCGCCTGGAGCCCCAATGCCCTGATTTATTCTTAGGATGGTGGCTTACGTCCTAGCTAAGACTTCGGATTATTAGATGGAGACTTTAGATTATTCGACGAGGGTGGCAGCTGTGTTCCGGGTCTTACCATTAGCAAGGACAAGTGTTCCTCCCTGAGTGCCAGCCTCTGCGAATGAATTACAAAGGCTGGAGGAAGAGGTGGCAGGTCCTCTGCTTTACCTTCACCCACAGGTTGGCCTCTGCTGAATCTGAATATGTATTTTCCAAGTTTCCCAGCGTTACCATTTCTTTGGTCGGAAACCCTTTCCGAAGGAAAGCAGAGGGGAAAGAGGGAAGCAGAGAGAGAGAACCGATATTCACTGAACATCCCATAGGCCCCACGCGGTTCATGTGCTTTATTTACTTCCCTCTATTATTTCCTTCTGTTCCCATTCTACAGATGGGGAACCTGAGGCCCAGAGAAGGAAAGCCCCAGGAACCCCCCTGGAGGCCTCCCTAGCTAGTCCTTGAGCCCTGACCCCACCTCTGCAACCGCCGTTGGCCACCTGACAATAACAGTGGGAACCGAGTAAAGACCCTCTGCTCTAGTCACTCCCCACCACAGGCAGAAAGGACCCCCCTCACCAGGCCGGGACTGCAGCCCTACTGAGGCCTAGCCAAGGTGTCTGTGGGACAGGTGCCACCCACGAATCCAGGCTGGGCTCTCAGGGCTGTCTCCTGGAGCCGGGCTGCCAGACCCTGCCCACCGCTGGTCAAATCTGGTAGAGAGGCCCTGGCCATCTCTTCTGGAAAATCCTGGGGAGTACCTGAGAGGACTCTCCTTTCCTCTTCCCAGAATTCTTTCTGCCACTACTTCATGAAAGCCAAAATAATAATAATAATAGTAA